TTTGTTCCGACTTTTGGGGCAGTTACGACAACTTGGGTCGTTTTGGGAGTCTTCTCGGAACTCACAACGGTTTGGTTTTCGGGGAGGCTGAAAAATAAACCCTAATAAAGACTGTATTGAGTCATTCTCCATAGTCTCAAAAAAGACCAATTGATTGATTGTTCGACTTCAGAAACGATTGAGTTTGACTTGTGGCATCGGAGAGTATGTATCGAGAATACGATGTGAAGAGAGCTCACCTCCTGAGGAACCTCAGCAAGAAGAAGATCCAGTGAATGATACGGATAGAGAACGGATAGTATTGGATAAATTTGGCAGAAAAGTTGATAGTTCTGAGACGAATGATGCCACCACATGTATGCAACGAACATGGCGATACAGTCAAGAGATACTCCAATATTCAGGTGAATCGGGTCGGTTGGAAAAATAATCCTCATTTTTGTTATGATTATTATTATTCTTGCAATAATGCGTATTATTATCACTACTAACCACGTTCATGAACCAGTGCTCATTGATAGGAAAGTGATTGACTGTGTAGTTGATTTCATTCGATGTGTTTGTTGATCAGTTCGTTGATTATTCGCATTAATTTCAAACTTTGAATAAAAGTTACAAGTATTCATATTTGTAAGTATTTATAGGTGAGCATTCAAACACGGCTAATACATCGTCGCGTATGTGTGATGATAACAGGTTCAATGACCTACCCGCACCACCGCCCCATCCGACTGATCCTGAACAGGTTATAACAGATTTTTATTTTTGAGTGTTTACTTATCGTTTACCACAAATCATCACCGAGTTATTCATCCAGCAGTGATATGTTGATTGTATTCAAAAGTGCATTGCTTTTTTATGTGGTGATTCAAAATTTGTTTATTATCGTAGAGAACATTTGCTTTGAGGTTAGTTGTTGGTGGTGTGGGATATATTTTTGATGGATTATTTTTTTAAGATACGCAGATTGATTCGTTCGAAAATGGTTCGATGTAAGAAATGTGGGAGTCGTTTCATTGAGAAGAATATTCTGGAAAGACACTTACGTGACAATCATCCGATTGAATACGTCGCTTTTTTGAAACAACAGGAGGATGAAATCAATGAACAACGGTTAGTTGTTGGAGTTTGATTGCGTTTCATTGGATTCGTTCACTCGTAATATCACTTTGCACAATAGAAATATGAGACTGAGTTTGGATACAGCACATTCATTTGCTCATTTAGTTGATAATAGATTAATGTTGAGAGGAATTTTTTGGATTGCAGATTGGCTGAAATCGAAGCGAATCGAATTGAAGAGTTGGCATCCGGTGGATTCATTCCTCCAGAAGACGCGATTGCTGCGAATAGTTTCGATGTGGAATTAAAAGAGTAATATCGCTTTTTCAGATTCAATTTTTGGATTGTTTATTTATCGAAGTTCGAAGAGCAGTTGGGAATATGTTTTTTGGGTTTTTTGTTTGTTCAGTTACATTTTTTGTTTGTCCAGACACGAAGGTATAAAATATGATTGAATTTAGTATACCATTACCGGGCGAGTTGAGCGGTGGAAAACCGGCACGTTTCGACGGGCAAGGATTTCTTCGGCAACCGAAACGAATTTTCAGAAAAAAGGTTTGATTTGGATTGTTGGATTTGCTTGTTTTTGTGTGAGGTTGAAGCAGACTTCTTGTAGTGAGTTGTTGAATTTCAGTATGTCATTCAGATCGTTACATCGATTTGAATAATGAACAGATTTTTCTGGGGGAGGAGGGAAGGTGGCGGGTGGCGAACAATTTTGCAAAAACGTTACATTTCAGATCTCACCGCAGTGTCCGTTTTGTGATAAACGTTTTCGAAATGAAGTATCACTGAAGAAACACTTTAAAAAGAAGCATCCGGATTCGTTGGAGTTCACTCAGTGCCTGAAATGTTTTAAAGCGATTCCATCTGAAGATAAACTACCCACTCATCAATGCGATTTGGTTAGTCCACTCGCTTTTACCGTTCATTTCATTTGATCGTTCTCGCTCATACATTCATTACTGATTAGAGTGGATCATCTTATCGAATAAAGTGATTCTGCGCCGATCATTGGTTTAGAATTTGTTTTGGTCTTTTTGGTTTTTGTTTGTCTTTTAGCATTTCCAATTTTATAGCGAACACTTTTCTTTGACTGATCTGAGCGAGTGATATGTTCACATTGCGGCGTCGAGCTTGAGAAAGGTGCTGCTGACGGCAGGATAGGCTACTGGCTCTTAGTTAGGCTTTTATGCCGGAGTAGGAGTTAACAGATTGAAAAGATTGTAATGTTTGGACATATTTCAGTCGTATGTATGTTTCGAGTGTACACCAATTCGGAATCTATGCACACAAAGACGACTCTACTTTCATCGTTCGAAGTTTCATCGTGGCGCTAATTCTGGATTCAAGTGTAATTTGTGTACAATGAAGTTTTTGACACCTCGCAAACTGCGAAAGCACAAGAAAATGGCTCACGTCTTCACGAGAACGTATCAGTGTCATTTCTGTGAAGAGCTCTTCACCAGCGAATGCTCGGTGCGTTTTGTTTGGTTGTCACTCATTTGCGGGCAGAAAGTCGTCAATTCTCTTGAATTCGCACTTTACCTAATGATAGACATAGAGGATGGTTTAGCGATTGGATAAATCGAAATTGAATAAATTGGAAAAATAGTTTAGCGATAAGTTAAATAAATTAAACTATTGCTAAATTGTTTCAAATAGTTTAGCGATAAATTAAATTGGATAAATCGATTGGATGTTCCAACAGTTGAACGTATTTCGTTCAACATCAAACAGAATAAATCATAGTAAAGTGTTACTGATTGTGAGATTAGTTTGCGGGATTTATTTCATTTTGTTGACTTTTAGGTCTGTCTAAACCACTTTAATGAGAGATTTTCGTTTCATGATTGGTAAATTATAAAGTGGTGAATGTTTGGCTTTAAGGTGATAACACACGAACGCATCCATACGGGTATCATAAAGTTTGAATGTCGTATATGCGATTATAAATGTAATCGCTTCATAAACATGGAACAGCATCAACGTGAAGAGCACGGCTACATTTGTTCGGTGTGTCATACGAAGTTGGCTGAATGGAGTGAACTCAAAAATCATACACTTCAAGAGCATGGTGGTTATTTAACGATCGAATCGAATACAGGTTTGCCAGTTTTGTTTCTTCTAATCTATTTGTTTTTGGACAAACTTGTTGAGGTGAACTAGTGTAGGCGCGGCATCTCTACTCAAAATCAGTTAAACGTCGTACCTAAGAACTTCTTCAACTTTCGGATCAATTTTTTGAGAATTAATTTAAGTATTCCCCAGATTTGAACTTAGAATCAGGCTTAGGTTAGTGCTTCACCAATCACAGAGGCGCAGTTGATACTTTTTAAGAAATATCGATCACTCATTTCAGAATCTTTCTTAGTAAGGGGTACTTCGTGACAGTGTGAAAGTTTAGTGAAATAACTGTCATTCAGCGTAAATTTTTCAGCGAAATCAACATTTCTGATTTTACATTCTGAATTTTGAATGTTCTCTCTAATTGTCCTTATTTTTGACTCCTGTAGAAGGTGGTTATAATTTTGTTATCGGTAAGTTTATCATTCGATGAACTTTTCTATCGGATCAATTTCAAGTGGACTGAATGATTAATCGTGATAAAATGATGCTGTGATCATTGAAGAGGATTGACATTTTATTTTGTTCACTTCTCATCGTCTTCATATAAATAAAACATTTCAATAAACAATGTTCTCTGCTTCGTCTATTCAATTGACTGTTGCGTCAAATTGGTCACTTGTCATCCAACGATGCACCTTTTTCTTTCAAATCGAATTTAATTCTTCTTCGATCAGTTTGAATCGATTGATGAGCGGTCATAACTTCATAAGACAAATGCAACTGATTCGTTAGTTGTAGATAAGCGAATTGTTGTCCAAGCGATAAGCTGAATTGTACCGAAACTTAACGTTTTAGGTATTTATTTGGTTGCTCGAAAAAGTAATCGTCAGCTATATTGTGTTTTTGGAATATTTTTCGCAGAGGATTTGCTTTGGAAATTAGTGTTGAACTGTGATAGTTTCTGGTTTCGATTGAGAAGCAGTGTCCCATTCGAAGAAGAAGTTATGACCGTGTCATAAATCCGTGAAAACTGGAAACGATTTGGTCTAATCACCCGTTTCAGGCTATGTGGAAAGTCCACGAGTTTGGCTAATGTATAAAGGTGAGTGAGTAGTAACGGCCGGTGGCTGGTAACGTCTCGAGTTGGTGTTAATGCTACGTGTATCATCGCAAAACGAACCCGAATTATTGCGATTCTCATAAATCATAAATTCTAGTGTCGTATTTTGTAATCGTTTTGATGTGTGCTTTTTTTTGAATGTATACTTCTGATAGCATTTTTGTTGCATCACTAACATTCACGCTTACCTAAGTAACTATCAAATTGTTATATTCGTATTCGATGTTGTTCTCCATCTTTATGGGTAGTGTCTTAGCCGGAATTTTCGATCTGAGAGAACCTGAGTAATCAGAAAAAGCGACAGTAGAATGAGGCTTAGGCTTTTTGAACGTAAACATTCAGGAAAAGTAATTCGGAAGATTTTTTTCGAGCAGATTTTCGCCTGCAAGTTTCTTCGTGTTTAACCGATGTTCAATGCCACGAATCATGATGAACTGAATAATTGTTTCTCGACGTGTTATTGTTTGATTTCGTTTGGTTTTGATGCTGTCTGTCACTTTCAGTTAATATGTATCTCAGTTGTTGTTAATGCTTCTTCATCAAAGGGAAATTTGTGGCTATTGTTGTTGTTGTGTTAGGATTGATTGATTGCATCTGTAATTTTTTTTCGCTTTTGTCGCTATCCGCTAATTGACTGTTCTGAATATTGCTCTCAGATTTGCTGTTAATGTCTCAGATTTTTTCAAGTTATACTGCTTGTTCTTATTGTTGCTATTAATCATTGTGTGCCTCTTACTGCTTCTAGGCTGGTTATTATTCTCTGCCACTACACCGTCGTAACTAAGTATCCATGCGAGTTTCAAAATGTGAACGTAAGCCTGAGCTGAAGAATTCAGAAGTCAGAATCGAGAATTGAAACATAGTGTATCAGTGTTTTATTTCTTGGCTCATCTTTTCCTCTCGTCTGAGTTTTGTCAAACTTTTAACGTTTAGTATGTCATATTATTGTTGTTTCGGGTTAATGAATAATCACTAGGTTAAT